TTGTAGAATGTTTATGTAAATCATGAGAAGTTGATTTATATGAAGAAAAATACAGTTTTTACTCAAATTTAAGAATACAATTAAATATATTTAATAATGATTACAGAATATTAATAAAAGTGCTTATTTTATAGATTTATATACATAATAGGAAATATATTAACTCTACATTATATATATGTATTTACTGAATAGAAAGTCATGTTTACAAAATATACATTTGTGAATACATACACTTCTATCAAAGTAAATGTTATAGTTAGTAATTTCAATTAATGATATATTTGGCAAGTCATGAAACAGTAATAGAAGATGATATGATATTTTATGCTTGCAACATGTAAAAGTTTGAAATATTTTGCATTCGCGTTTGTGAAATTATTATTGATTTTTAATATTATTATTAATTGTCATAATGTATAATTTGCCCAAGAAAAGACTTGGGACTTTTGAGCAAAAAAATATGGATGCAGTAAATTGGCTATCACAAATTACTTGATATAAAAATCCATTAAAATTGAAACCATTTTAAAAGTCTCGAGTCTCCTTAAATACAATATGTCAAGTATAAGTACACTGAAACACGCGCACTGGCAACTTTCAACAATGTTTTTTTCATTCCAGAAATCGACGATGATATATTGCACTTTGCGTCATGAAAGAAGAGACAGTGAGGGAGGAATGAATGGAAAAATTGGATGACCGCGAATCATCATCGTCCATTGAAATCGACACCAGCCATGTAATCGTTAATAGCGATTATGTTATGTCGGTGGCGAACATCGATGATACGGCCAACAATAATGTGGCGGTGGAGGTGGTGCTGGCGGTGGCGGTAGTTGTTGCGTGGACGGCGTTGATCCCGATTGCAACGAAGAGGATTGTTGTACGGAATGTTGAGGCGACGGCCCGACTGAATATAAACGGTGAGTACGATGAGCTTGGTGATGAGGATGACAGTTGCTATTTGTCAAACGCGACGACGTTGATGCCTCCAGTGTCATAATGCCGGCTTGTGACTGACAAGCCATCATCAAACCATGAAAATCGAACTTGTAAGCGTAACGTTTACCATGAACTTTCGTCATTATATTCTTGTCGTAGTAATATCTGCGAAATATATTAATCTCTCTTAACATTGTGCAGCGTTTTATGACATTTCAAAGTATTTTAAATTTACAAGTAAAGGATCTGTATGAAATTCATGTAATGGAGGAATACAAATCTAGATAAAGAATAGGTATATGAAAAAAGAGGGGTAATTAATGATTTTTTGTGTACTATTCTTAAGTCTGTTCTTCTCAGTTGAATTGGCTGTACTAATTCAGAGTTTATCTTTTTTACTCCACATTGGAAAGAAAGAGATAAACTCTGAACTAATACAGTCAGTTCAGCTGAAAATAACAAACCTCTTCTTATATAGGTCGGCAAACGATATCTGCTTTAAATCGAATTACCTTAACGCGCGTGACAGCTTATCGTAATTCATATTCGGCTTGCTCTTGCGCTCGCCCCATCGACGTGCGACTTCGTCCGGATCAGTAAGCTTGAATTCCCCGTTCGAGCCCTCCCACGCGATACAAGACGCGTTGGACGTATCCGAGAGCAGTTCCAGCAGGAATTGCCAGAGCTGGACCTGTCCGCCTCCGACCGCCCCCGAGCTACCAGCTCCAGCCGTCGATCCAATCAGGGAGCAAGTCCGTTGTAGGAGGCTGAACCTCTCTATGAACAGAAAAACGAAACACGCATGCACCAAACTTCAAGTTTCTCGAGATCGAGTCGTTTATAGACAGTAAAAAAAGAAAAAAGGAGAGAGAAAAGCGATGGTTGTGAGCTTTCTCTCAACATATTTCCTTTCTTATTCTGACGCATAGATATTTTTATTTTTATCTTTTTTCTATTAGTATTATCATCCATATGTAGATATTTAATTATTAAAAAAAAAACCGTAATGAAATTGTGATAATTGTTGATATACGCGAGATTGTCAATTGGAATTCGATTACAAAAACGGGTAAAAAAATAGAATTATTTTAATATTCTATTTTTATATCGCATCAGAGTAGATATTTTGTATTCGTCGTATACATGTATAATATATGTTATTTGTCTAATATACATATGTATAATATATATGTATATTTAAATTATATCTTATATACATATTTCGTATACATGTATACTTATATATTTCATATCTATGTATATTATGTATAAGTACATGCACAAGCAAGATAAAGGGCGCGCAATAATATCTTCTCTATATATTAATTTCACTCGCGCGCTTAATCTTCAGTTCATTTCTAAATTTACCGTTGTAAAGAATTGCAGCAGCCGAAGGATGCAATCTGGTGTCTTGCTGAAGATGTAGCGGATGCGTCTGAATTCTCCACATTACGCGTCGAATGTGAATATTTTAGCCTAATCGCCTGTGCCATATAAACGGCGCTTTCGAAAACCAATAAACGATAATAGGCTTATCATCTCTGGAGGCATCCGTCTCGTTCTAGCAATGCGAATTGATTGTCTTGCGATTTTTGAAAACGGTCTCTGTTTGTCGTAATTTTTCACATCTTTCTCTTGAGTTAAAAAAAAAGAACGACATGTATCACACTGTAGTTTCTCTTGTATATTAGTGAAATGACATAGAAATTATAATTTTATAGGGGCTTACTGTCGAGCGATCACCTGCAGCAGCACGAGTAACTTCATTACATGAATCACGATGTATTCGCCGTGTCTCACGAAACAAGAGGATACGGATCGAGGATGATATATCGATATCCATTTCACTGATCTTGATGACGCGTCACACGATTGAGCGAAGCCGATTGCTGGCGGATCGAGTCGATGAAAGGACGTAGACACATTCGGAATAAAACTCGCCAGTCAGTGGACAGAGAGCGACTGAGCGACCTTTGCCCCTGGTTTATTCAGCCCTTCGCACCCCTTCTCTCTCCCACTCATAGTCTCGGTAAGTGAACGGAATATCTTTACACCCCCTCTCTCTTCTAAGCTTAGAGTACTTACCGGTAGCTTCCATTTTTTTTACATTTTTTTCTCGCTTCTGGAATTTACGCAAATATTCTCTCAATATCTCGTGCACGCGTGTACAAATGAAAATAGTTTTATATAAATTCGTTTGAGATTTCTTCTCTCGCGAATAAATGTTTCAAGCGCTTTCATTTGGAGAGCGCAATCGTTTTTTTGTGTATGAAAACACATTTCTGTAAATTTGCACATATATTTTATATATCATTATATCTGATATTTTTATCATAAATACAAATCAATATATATGATTACAGATTTCTCTCTTTTTCTCTTTCATGTCAAAATATATTGAAGTAAAAAATAATTGAAATAATTATATACTTTTATAAGAAAAAGCCAATAGAAATTAATATGATAAATTAAAAATATTAATTCGTATCAAATAATAAATTCGAATTATAGATATTAGTGTCCATATATCAATATATCTAAAGACATACTAATAAATCAATTTAACATACATTTATGTTTTAAAATTGCATTGTAATTTTTATAAATCAAAATGAATTGCATCTAAATCAAAAGATCGAAATAGAACAAGATATAGAAGAATTTTGAGTTTATTACTCTGTGTGCGTGCACAGCTAAATAAATATCGTTAATATCTATGTCGACAAAAAAATTATGACGATCAATAAATTGTATATTACGAACGTAAACTCGACGAAATATACGAAAACGAGAATATATGTAAAATTCCATTTTAACTCGATATTGATCGTGTATTAAAAAAGATATGCAGAGTTTGAAGGGCAAGTTTGAACGGATTTATACATTCGAGGATTACATCGTTATTATATATGATATTATACGTATGATATTATATGCAATACACTGAAAAAAATTATTTAATTATTCAAACAAATATTTATATTTCAATACTCCTTTATACGTCATTTATTTGAAACTAATAATATTGATTTGAAAAAATCCTTTTTAAAACATATAAATATTGATTTGTTTCAAATGAATATGTAAAGGGAAAATAAATATTTGAATTCAATAGTTTCTTTTTCAGTGCACTAAGTGTGTGCATAAATGCCGAACGTGTCGCGAGACGAAAGAGAATATATGCAGCGATATATGACGGAGATGCACGATGCGTAAAATTATCTCGTATACGTTGAAGACGTATCCACGAGAATGTTTGCCGCTCATCACGAAAACAATATAGTCGCGCCCCGCGGTGAGCTTACCACCCCAAAAGCCCGTTAGAGCTTGCCCGAAAAGGAAGGAGGAGGGCAGAAAGAGGGGTAAAAGCGCGGGGGTCGCGGCGAACTCGTAACCCCTCGTGGCACCACCTTTCCGCTACCCTAAACACTCAATGGTTTATTCATGAGGACTCTCTCACCGCGATAACACTGATTCGTTTAATAAACGGCTGCTCCCGGGGTGAGATGGGCCAACGCACATACACAGAGAATAAAAGAAAGAGAGAGGAAGAAAGAGGTAGAGAGAGAAAGCTGCAACGTTATTCAAACGGACGATATATCTCCGAGGCTTACGCTGCCACGACTCCTGCTACCTCTCACTTTTCGCTTTTCTTCTTTCGCATCCGAAGAGGCGGTGCTCGAAAAATCTGTGCTTCGAAAAAGAGGAGCAAGGCATAGGCAAAAAGGAAATTTCTTCGCTTAATTTTCTCAGCTTCCTCATCTATATGTATATAGCACAGTTGAAATCAATTATATACCGGAATACATTTATTATTATTATATCATACAAATATTTTTAATCAATTTTTTTTTATTTAAATTCTTATAAAATATTTTCACTCACCGAGATATCTTTCCGTCTAAATTTTGAAAATTTTTTCTTCTTATTAAATCGTGTTCTCTTTATTCTTTAATCTCGTGATATTTTTCTTTTTCGATCGCATTTTCAATTTTACATTGAGAAAATGCACGGACATTTCGGGAATTTTATTTTAAGAAGTTTTGCTTTTTCCTTTTTCACGAATCAAGGGACGTGAAGAAAATCTCTGACGAAACTATCCACACACACATACATACACACATTCGGCAATATCGGTATTTACTTTTCTACTGGACCGCGTTTATCTGTAATAGATCGCAGCTATCGTTAAAGCTTCTAGATAAGTCCGAATTGAACCAGCATCGGTCCTTTGGGAACGGTTAGCCTTTTCCGGTCATTTTCTATCCAATCTTGACAGGCTCCAGGACCTCTATTAACCTTTTTTAAGCTTTATCGTATAGACGATTCAGATTTATAGAGCGAATTATTTTAGATTTACTATACTTATAACTAGAAAGCATAAAGTAGACTTGAGAATCTTACTGTTGATAAGAGGAAAAAGCGTTATCAAAATTTTATAGCGTATATGTTTCAAGAAAAAGATATTTAAATTGATATATTATTTTGATTTTAATGTTTTAATCCTTGTATCAATGCATAATTTTTATCTTGTCATCAATGTATTTCGAATATAAAGGCTCTTTGTATTTTATTTTATGCAGGAAAAAATTTCGACACATTTTTAACATCCAATCCAATCATTGACAAAAAAGTTAATTGCAAATTTAAAAATTGGTAAAAATTGATTGCGTCATCATTCTGATATTATTCCAAATCTTTTTCAAACTAATTAATTACTGCTATTTAGATTAATGTATAATTCACTTAAAAAAGAAAAAATTTAGATTTAAAAACTTTTAATACAAACCAATTTATTATATAAAAGAACGAAGTACGAGTTTCTGAATGAATAATATCAGTTCTAAAAAATTACAGTACTTTAATTGTTGAGAAATAATTCAGACAATTGAGGAGATCTATGTTCGAGAGTTTTTAACGTATTTTTCTCCTTTATATGTATTTCCCTCGTTATTGTATAACGTGATCAATAATAAAAAACTCAATCTAAAGCATATATAGAAGAGAATTGATCTTGAATTTATATCAGGCTCACCAGTACTGTCATCGTCCTCTTGCAATAAATCTGGAGTGTGTACGCCGGTTGCTTGTAGATGAAGGTAGCCCAAGTGTCGCGCCAGGATACGACCTCCCAGACCGCCGATTTTCTGCCAATCTCGCTGGGACAATTTCAGCAATTCCTTTCCGGTCGATGGAAGTAACAACGCAGCGATCGGTTTTATGGAGAATGTCCGGCCGCACCAGGAGATCCACGAGGCTATGTGGCTGGAATTCCACTCGGATGGATCTGAAAGACGAATCCGAAGTCATCGAGACATGTTTCTCGGCTCGCTTGCGCGTCGATACACAGAGTTTAAGATGTAATTCGTCATTATTTCAGCGCCAATTAGATATTCACCGGATGGCACCATGATTTGTTCGGATTCCAAGCGATCAGTATCTTCATTGTTGAAGCGATCGTCATTTTTTTCGTTGCTCTCCGATACGATTACGCGTTCTATGACTTCGACATCGTTATCAGCTTGTTCTGTCAAACGAATCGTTTGTTTGTAATTCGAAAATACCTTTTTTTTATCATGCCACTTCGATCTTGAATCAGATGCATCAGACAATACAGAGTCTTGTGTTATCGCTCGATGACAGAAATTGCGTCTTTCATTTGCAATTTCGTAATTCATCATTTTGTTTCAGGTGATATATCGAAGAGGGAAAAATTCTCACCGTTAATCGTCGTTGACCACAAGTATCATCGACTGACTGACTCATCGATCAAGAAGGCGGACCTTCTCGAGCGAAGTCGCATTTAACAAAAGTCAACAAGAAGACTTTCGGCAGTCTCCACCTGAATTAAATTTGAATTAAGGTAACACATTTTTACTTCGATTGTTTGTTTTTTTTTTTTGCACCATAATAATTACTCCAAAAATTTCGCGAATGCGATTCTTCTTTTACTTGCACTCACTTGTTATTTTCAAAAATATATATACAACTTTCTTCACACTTTTATTATCACGAACATTTAAACAATTATCTGTTTATCGTCGAGATCAATCGATCTCTAATTACAATAATTTTCTCGCTCGCGATACAATTCTGTCGCACGTGCGTAATATCGAGTAACACCGTAGTTATGTTGAAATGATCCTCCGGTCTGGCCATCGTCGTCGGCGATGTAAATGAAATGAAATCACGGACGAGGCTGAGGGTCGGGCCTCATCAGGCAACGCGAGGCAACCGAAGACCCGATTGGCGAAATATGAATTCCCAGAATTCAGGGCCATACAACAACTCAGCCACTCTCGATCAAGTCGCTTTTGGCTCCATGCTTTCGGCGCGCATCGTCGACCGCTGAATCACGCCTGATTGCTCATCTTACATGCTCTTTCTTCTTTTCTTCCCGCCGATTCCCACACGTTAAAGGAATATTACATTTTCCGTATCGTCGTTAATATAATAAGATAAAGTTATCGCGAATAATTGCATTTTCCATCGTGGATGCGATATATTTCTCTCATCTCGCGATATAACAAAATTTATTTCAATGGCTAAAAACGTTCTTTTTCTTATTCGAATAAAAATATTTTTATATTTGCTTTAAATAAAGAAGAATCGTATTTTTTGTTCTCTAATGTACAACTTTGCTGCGTGCATTTTGTATCGGAGAATAATAATTGCTATTGTAGATATATTATCTTTGAAATTTGCATAAAAACTTTAAATTTATAAAAAGAAGTATTAGTCATTTTAGAAAGCGGATGTATATATGCACAATATACACCTAACTATATATTAGGATGCCAGCCGGTTTTTTTATGGGATATGACTGTTAATATTCCAAGAATATTTCTCTCGTTTGAATTAGTCAGAGTAGAAATTAATTCTAAAGAAAAAAATTCAGAGCTTGTAAAGTAAATTGGATACAAACGTAGCCATGAGGAATCATTAACTTCAATTTTTATGCAGCAGATAACGTTTAAATATTTATTAAGACATAATGTAACGTTTTAAAATAATGTGCGAGGTAAAGAAAACAGGATAAAAAATGCCTTGTTATCTTTTACAATTTTTCAATTTCGATTTTTTTAATAGTAATAATTATTTACATTTTGTGTGACACATCCTATAAAATATATGAAATAATAAGCCAAAAGAACAATATAACAGAATATATAAAAACTCTAAATATTCCAAATAATATTGCAAAATAATTCAATTAGGTTAAAAATAAGTATAGATTAATTAATACAGTTGTTTTATTTATTTACGGTATTATAAAGACATCTCTTTTTACGATTTACAAAATTGTAACAGTATGGAAATTGTAATATTTTATATGAGACAGAATTAATATAACCATCACAGTGAGTAACCAATATAGGGAAGTGTAGCCAGACTGTCATTATGTAAAGTGCAACAATTATACTACAATGCATATCATTTTTGTGATATACTAATATTATACATTACATATGTCAGTTTTTTTTACTTATTCACAATAATTATATAACTAATAGTAAATTAAGAAATTGCTAATGTTTTACTATTTCTTTGTTTGCACACATGTAGAAAATACAAAATAATTTTAGCAATTATACTACAAGAAATTAATTATACATATATTGGACACTTTCAAACTTGTAAGTTCAAAGATTTAGTGCGTTAACTATCATCTTAAACGATATTTAAGTAATTGAAACATTTTTTTCCCAAAGGTGTCCTGTTTTTGATGTCGATATTCTTATATATTAAATAACGACTAGAGTAAACATATACAATCATCTACAAAAGACAATAAATTAATAAATTATTGCCTTTTCTTAGCAGCTTTTACAGCCTTTGATTTTTGTTTCTCTCCTCCAGAAAGAAAAGATGTTATCACTTCAGACATTTCTGGCATATTATAAATAGTGAGATTATTTAATTGCTCCATTTCCTACAAAATACATATAGTTTGTGACTTTGTCAGCAAACAGATTACATAGATTGTAGTAATTTATAGGTAGTATATTAAATTCAATTATTCATCCTTTCCATCTTTTATGAAAGGTGATCTTACCTTTCTAGTTTCAGGGTCATTCATAATTTTTGGCAGAATCATAATTAAGACAAGTGGCAAAACCATCATTAATACCTAAAAAAAAAAAAAAGAGAGAAAAAGGCATTTTTAGTAAATAAAATAAAATACATATGTTCTCCGTGTATTGCTGAAAATTTTGTTACCATGGGATTAAATAAGAAGTCTGTCATTCGCCATTGCTCTCTAACTTGAAAGTATCGAAATGGTGCTAGAGGCCTCATTTTTAATGGATAAGGTACTTGAATCACTTGCGATGTTTGTATCAAGTTTACTTTACGAGCTCGGAATTTTCCTTTAGAATTGATTTCCACTCTGACTGGTTCATAAACATAATTTGGATTCACCACCTCAACCATGTACGATCCTGATGGAACATTGGAAATTATAAATGTGCCATCTTCCCTAAAATAATGAAACATTTAATTAATATAAGTGATTAATGTGAAAACATATAAGTAAATTTGTCGGAACATGCATATATAATCAACATAAATATACCTCAAAAAGCCATAATGTTCACCACCGTTGGCCATTACATGCGTCATGAGCTGCCATCCGCTAGAAGCAGTGTTGTCCCAGGGAAACACTTTTCCCTCGATCACGTACAGATCCGTAGACGGGTCCTCTTCATGTTCCGCGATGACGTATTGCTCGCATAAATTAGCGAAAATAAGGAACAGGCACAGAATATTCTTCATAACGAGTACGAGTAAGCAATCCGTTTTAACCTCAATTCATCTGTTGTGTACTAACTTTAACCACAGATTAATAGACAGATCGCCAAAGGCCTGCCTAAAGAAGAGACCGCCATCTTCGTGCGATAGACTTTGCCCCTTACCGACACACTTTGCCCCTGGTTCGAGTCCGTGCTAAATTCGTAGACTTGAACCAAAAGACTTTGCCCCTGGTTCGAGTCCGTGCTAAATTTCGTAGACTCGACCAAAAGACTTTGCCCCTGGTGCAAGTCCAGGCTAAATTCGTTTGACATTACCAACAGACTTTGCCCCTGGTGCGAATCCAGGCTAATTGATCATGAGACCAATTTGAGAGATTTGGCCCCCGTTGTGTGTGTGTGTGTGTGTGTGTGTGTGTGTGTGTGTGTGAGAGAGAGAGAGAGAGAGAGAGAGAGAGAATATTTTACATATATGCATATATATATAAAATTTATTAAATATAAAAAATATATTTTTTACACATAAAATGTTTTTTTATTGAAATAATCACGATTTTAAATGTGATATAACACAGTGTTCAAAAATTTTTAATTAAATTTTTTAATTAAATTTTATTAAAGAAAATTACTTGAAATTTTTTACATTAAGAATTTAAAGGCTCCTTATTCTCTTGTAGAAATTTATCACTACGCCAATTAATCACTTATTTTGAGTATTTAAAATACTATAATATACAGTAATTTAAGTATTCGAAATAAAAGTGATTAATTACTCGAAATAAGTGATAAATTGGCGTTACTAGTAATAAATTTCTATAAGGGTTGAAATAAAGTATAAGAGATAAATAGGCTATATGTGAGCCGTATGCGAAATGTGAGATGTAAGACGCATATTGAAATTTAATTTTTCGATATAACTTTCAAAAATGTACACGAGGTACAAAAAATTAGCTTGGACATTTGTAAGACTTAAAATTGGGATTAATTCTCAATTCTATTAATTAAATTTCGATATAACACACCTTACATCCGCGCACGGCTCACATATATATAGCCCATTTATTAGTGCAATTTTTAAGTTCCTTATTTTTCAAAGTTCACCTTTTTACGTTATCAAATATTTTTACGTTTTCAAGAATTTTATATTTTTACTTACCGCAGTTTCTTATCCAAATGTAAAATCTTTTATCGCAGTCTATAAAAAATTGAAACAATTTACAATTTTATGATATAATATTATTATTATTACAATTTCTATATATATGCACATCTGTCAAATATCGTGATTTATTTCACATTATTATTATCTATTTTAATAAAAAAAAACAAAAACACTTGCAACAATCAAAAATAAACCGCCTGCCGCGAACGGAAAATGCCAAGAAAGCACGCAATTTCCGCGAATCTCGTAATTTTTTTGAAAAATCAACAATTTCAACGAAATTGTAAATTCTTCAAATCACTGCACAAGTATAATTCACAATAATAATTTTCAGTAACTACGATAAAAAATCGTATACTGAAAACCGCAAACGAAAGTGCAATGGGAGTAAGAGTAAAGTCTGTGATAAAATTAATTGGCAATAGAAAATTAATAATTTTCAAATAGAAAAATTTTGAAATTACCGAGGATTTACAAATAATAAAGTAAAAATATTAAATAATTTATGTTTTCGAATTTTGCTCGCGGAGAGGATCTTTAAAACAAGATTTTTAGAAGAGAGGACCTTTAAAATATAAACAGGCAAAAACGTTGGAAAAATTAAAGCGCGCGTTTAAACAGATAAACGCAATGAAATAAATACGCAATTGTTTTTACTTATCGCTGTAAGCTCACAAGCTTCTGACGTGCTATACACTTTTATATAATATATACAAGGTGTCCGGTAACTAACGGACCAATGATTAAGGGCGGATTCTCTGGCCAATTTGGAGACGATTTTTCCTTAGCAAAAATGTTGAGAAGTCAATAATTTTCGAGTTATAAGCGATTGAAAAAAATAGGTTTTTTGAAAACTAAACGTTTTGGAGTTAAAAGTCTAACATAATTACATTCTTCAGTTAATTTCAGGTAGAGTTTACTATAATAAAATTTTAATTTAAGGCTTAGTTATAAAGATACATAATGACAAAGATTGGAAAGTTGTAAAAAATGATGACCTTTTTCGACATTTTCGCTGAGGAAAAATCGTTCCCAAATTGACCAAAGAATCCATTTGTAATCATTGGTCTGTTAGTTACCGGACACCCTGTATATTGGACACGAGTTTCGTTTGTTTCAGATTCTCGAGAGTTGAAGTAGGAACATACGAGTATCATATATCGTTTGTGACTTGCCGAATGAAAGCAAGACAGAGAGCGAACGAGATGATGAGCTTAATAGCTCATAATGTTATAAATAAATAAATAAAAAATTATAACCTGACCTACTAGTTATTGAATCTTTTTTAATAAAATGTTTCATTATTATTATCATCTAAGTCTAAGTCGTTTAATTACTTTTTAGTTTTTTAATAATTAATTTAATTTATTCTAGTCATTTTTATATGAGAAAAATAATATCACGTATACGTTTTATAATGAATTAATATATTTCGGGAATCGAATTATATATTCTTAATAATATAAAAGTGTTCAAAAATTATATTTGACTTTTAATTTTAATTATTTTATAGCAAAGAGTTCCGAAATCTCTTACACACATAATGGGGATTTTTTTCATCCATATAATTCGCAAATAAGTATATATGTTAATTATTAATTTTAATAAAATAAAAATTAAAATTAAAGGTCAAATATAATTTTTAAACACAAATATATTAAATTAATTATAAAACGTATACCCATGATAGTATTTTTCTCGTACAAAAATAATTAGAGTAAATTAAATTAATCATAAAAGATTAAAAATTAATTAAAGAATTTAAACTTATATTTTATATAATAATAATAAAACATTTTATTACGTCAAACCGTCGTGAAATAATTAAATAAAATTTGCTAGTTACGTCAAAGTCAAGTTTTCTAAGCTTATAAAACATTTTATTAAAAAACAGATTCAATAAATATAAGTACATGTTATATATATACTTATATTTATTGAATCTGTTTTTTTTATAAAATGTTTTATTATTATCATATATAATATAAATTATTTAATTATTTTTTAATTTTTTTATGAGTAATTTAATTTGTTCTAGTTATTTTTGTACGAGAAAAATACTATCACGGGTATACGTTTTATAACGAATTAAATATATTTATGTTCAAAAATTATATTTGACCTTTAATTTTAATTTTGTATTTTATTAAAATTAATAATTAACATATATACTTAATTGCGAATTATATGGATGAACAAAATCTCTATTATGTGTGTAAGAGATTTCGGAACTCTTTGCTAAAATAATTAAAATTAAAAGTCAAATATAATTTTTGAACACTTTTATATTATTAAAAATATATAATTCGACTCTCGAAATATATTAATTCATTATAAAACGTATACGTATTAGTATTTTTCACATATTAAAATGATTAGAATAAATTAAATTAATTATTAAAAAACTAAAAATTAATTAAACGACTTAGACTTAGATGATAATAATAATGAAACATTTATTAAAAAATAATTATAATAGGTCAGGTTAATATTTTATTTATTTATTTATTTATAACATCATAAAATTCTGTCCTTTCCGAAATACGCGAACGCTACGAAAAGATAAATCTCGTACATGCCGCCGGACGAGTTCATGAGCATGAGACGCTCTTATCTTGGGAACGTATTAATAGTTACTGCATTGACTACTACTACGATATGGCGCTGAAATCAGTGAGAAATGCTGGTCTCTCCTTCATCCAGACCTTTGGCGATCTGTCTATTAATCTGTGCTTTAACCAATATATATCTATAAAAATCTACGTCATGATAATCTGTCATACGTCAAATTTTGTCCGATGTGCTGATTGGTTGATACTTGAAAGAATTTTGACAACCATCTGACAGCCAATCGGTGCGTCCGATGACTTGCGACAAATGTGAACGAACCTTAAAACTTGTATTTTTGTGTATTCCTCCTGCGCCTGCGCATTAGTGCTGCGCGAGAGTTCACGGTGATGTGTTAGGTTAAGTGGTACGAAAGTAACATCCGAACTTATAATTCGAAATGTTTTATTAGAAAGTTTATAATTTATCGTACTTATCGCGAAATTGAGTTACGAGATACACGCTATTTGCCTAAACGTCTTGTTAACGACTAGCTTACAAACATGGACGACAAACTTCGGCAAATGGAGGATGAAATGAACAGGTACGCGATCTTAATTTTGATTTAGGTTATACAATTCTTGAATTCTTAATTTGATTTTTTATCGAAAATTTTATTCACTCGTTACTTTTTTTTTAATGAATTTTTGTCATAATTTGATGTAATGTAATAAATTATGACATTCGAAGTGAAAGTTAAGACACTACTTTACAAGAGATTAAAATTTTTATTGATATGCTGTTTTTTCAAAGTTTTGATACTTGATTAATTCCTTAAATGTAAATTGAGTAGATTTGAAGCTGAAATAGGAGGGCAGCTTGTAACACCAATTGTACGACCAGTGATTGGTGCGAATACATATAGTCAAGTCGCTAGGCAATTAGAGCAACATGAACTTCCAACACCGGTGGTTGCAGCTGCTGCTGCAGCGACATTGGCATTTCCTCCGATGATTGGATTTCCTCCACCACCACCACCCCCACCTCCTCCACCGCCTCCACCAATGTTAATTCCTCAACAAGTAGCTCGACAAGGTAAAAATCTCATATATATTCAGGGATGTGTGAATAAAGTAATGGAATTTTCTTTATAAAATAATATGGCAACAATTATTACAGGTACAGTTCCCATTACAACATATTCCTCACCTGCGCAAATAAGTAATCCATATATATCGAATATGGTTGATCCGTGTCTAAGTGCAACACCAAAAACATATGATTCTACATCAACACCTATGATCCATCCTGAAATCATTGAGCAGATCATTAATACAAAAATACCTGAAGATGAAGGTAAAAAGAAACCAAAAGTAAAAGGCGTCAGCACAGCTGCTGAATTAGCTATTAGCCAAGGCAAAGCAAGTTCTATTATGGCCAATGCTAGTGCAGAAGAGAGTCATCCCAAGGGTAAGGGTAAAAAGAATAAGAAGATTATAAGAACAGCAGGGGGCCAAACATGGGAAGATCCTTCTTTGATGGAATTTGATGAAGGTTAATAAATATCTAGTTAAAAAATCTATTTGTTACACTCTTACTAAATTGTTTTCTAACAATATCCATATTGTAGATGATTTCAGAATATTTTGTGGAGATCTAGGAAACGATGTCACTGATGAAATGCTGGTGAGAGTATTTGGAAAATATCCTAGTTTTCAAAAGGCAAAAGTAATTAGGGATAAACGGACGAATAAAACCAAAGGTTTTGGATTTGTGTCTTTTAAGGATCCGCAAGATTTCATCAAGGCAATGAAAGAAATGAACGGTAAGCCAAGTATTTATTTATCTATTTTTTTATAGACTTTGCTTATGTTGGACAAACATCTTTTTTTATGATACAGATTTTATATTATAGATATTTTCTATAGCTTTCAAGTAACTATCGCTCACTTAATGCAGATACAATATATTTAGATACAAGTTTCTTTGACATAATATGTTAAAGAAAATTACTGTATAAAAAAATGTAAAAATTACAAGCTTAGGTCATTAAAACGAATTGATTAGTTATAAGAAATATTGGCAATTGCATTAAGGGGCAACTTGTTAGCATATTTTTAAAATATATCGCAATTATCAATATGCCTTTCTCTTTCTCTATCTGTCTCCTTTTTCGTTCTATCTCTTTTTTCTCTTCTCTCTCTTTCGTCAAGATGATACTTCGATATCGAATATGTCATCGTTATTCGTTTTTATTTCCAAATGGGCCCCAACCATACGATATGAAAAGTTGTGGTATGGTCCAATATTGTCTTCTCGGTTGTGCAGTAGATTGTCCATTTCGTGGAGCGATACGTGAATTAGGATGTTCTACGAATGATGTTTCGGTCGTCATGCCGGATTCTTGTCGTTGAGATGCTTGAAAAAATCATATATTTGGTAATTCGGAAAGTTGTAGCGTTTTTTAATTATGTCGATATTGTATTTATATTATCAACTAGTCCTTTATTAATATTTTTACGTCGACATATTTTAAAAAGTCATTTTAATGCATCTTTTACTGTAAGATTTGTTTAAATTTAATTATTTTAATATAATTTAAATTTATTTGTATAAAATGGAAGAAAAGAAAGTTTATATTTAGTTAAGTTTGTTATTTTTGCTTTTTTATTTCCGGAAAGACCTCGTGTAAACTTCAAAAAAGTTATGTGTGCTATTACAGAAACAATTCTGTTAAAAAATCCACTGTTCGGAAATAGTTTACTAAATTTAAAGTTGGTGATTTTAATCTTGCTGGTGCTGCATGCAAAAGATGAAATCAAGGTATTAATTGAAAACAGTCTACGATATGCTACACGAGACATTGCGCATATACTAAGAACATCGAACAGTATCGTATATGAACAGAAATTAAATTTAAACAGTCTTAAAATTTGTAAAAGAGAAACGTTACGAACTTTCCAAATAACCCAATATTTTTTCATTACTTTATAGTATTTTTTTCATTAGTTTTTTATTATCATATAATTTATAATATATTATTTATAATTCATAATATATATTATAATATAATTTTATTATAATAAAATTAGACTTTCTCCGCGTTGATATCGTATTATTAATACTTACTCGACGTGGCTGTAACTGCGTGATTCGATCGCGGATTCATGTACAGAACGGAAAACGGCATGCCACCGGCGCCCCAACCACGGGACATAAATACATCCTTCTTCGTGATTTTAGTCTGTTTGTTAATTGGTGCTCGAATTTCCCGTCCTGCTTCCGACATGCTATCTTTCCACGATTTTAACACTAATTCGGATACCGGGTTTGCGATTTGACGCCGAGATTGCAATCTGTCAAAATATACGAAAAAAGACATTTGATATATAACAATATTATCGATTATAAAAATATATAAAGTAAATTATATATGTGTATATTACACACCTCGAGGCATCGCTGTCTACTTGTTCGGGTACAATGACGATGCCATCGTACGTTTCTGATTTCGGTATCCATCCCCAGCATTTCCCATCGGAGGAACACGCTGTCTTTATTACAGATGCAAAGATATTTCGACTCCAAATGTCTTTTGCTTCTACTAATGGCGCTGCCATTGTACACGATATATTTAATATGAATATTAAGATAAATCTAGAAACCATCTCCATTCTTATTAACTATTTCGATAGTCGCGCGACACTTCAGCGTGTCGTACAATCAATTTCCAATTATCGTCGTAATATCGCTGCGCTAACGAAAAGTCGCGTTTGCGTTTGCGCTCGCCTTTGCCTAAAAAAAAGCAAATAAAATACAGATAAATTTATGAAGCTGATTATGCGAAAAGCCAACAAACATTCTATCGCGTATGATCGGTTTAAATTGAAAATAAAAGATATAATATTAAAAAAAAAACAAATATAAAACAAATATCACACATACACGAGCGAAAGAGAATTTTACTAAAGTAAACCACTATCTGTTTATATATCTATTTCTAAAAATTGTACTTTTAAAATAGATAATTCGTTATAGGCCGTTCGCTTTCTGTAGATATTTTGTTTCCAGCGTTCTGGAAAATGGATGAGACAAACATCGTGAAGAAACATCCCCCCGAAATTGTTGGCATAGTTTTAGCGTTCGAATTCTTTTCAAAGCGGCGTTCTCGATGAAAGTAAAAGTCAAGAAATGTGTAAGGAAGTTTTTTTTGGTATCGTACGCGCACGTTTGATATACCCTGAAAGAGCGAAGAGGCTCGATTCGATCAATCATTCCGCAATGATAACTTTGTCGACAGACAAGTATGCTGTTTACGTTCTGCCGCGAAATTTCTGCAACGGGTGATACTATTTATATAATGTCGGTTCTAATTTTAGCACCACGCTAAAACGTACACACGCATACTCGCGTGCGACACACGACGATTGCTTAAACGAGCCTGCGATAGAAAAGAAAAATATATACTTTTCAATATTACGTTTAAGCGAAAGAGGACGGAAGAGTATCGCGAAACATCCGGCTTCATTCGGTGTGCGATGACATTTTTATGAGACTAAAAAGATACGCGATGTAGGTGTCCGATGTATCATTTTTCGTTGTGATATCACACTTCATATACATACTTTTAACACGTGGCTGTACGCGAGAAATAGGAACTGAGAATTAGGAAACACTTTTAAAGAATATCGATAAATCTGCAAAAGAGATTATTATGATCTATTACATTTTTATTGTGCTATTTTAAATATTGTCTTATAGTTTGTGTTTATCTTTTATATATTTCTGTCTTCTTTCTTGCACATATTAGCACAATGTGACGCAAAAGATACATGGGGTTGTATACGCAAAATTATTTTATCTTTACTAGGATTTTATTACTTTAACAAAAGTTGAACGAAAGCATTATTATTATTATTTGTTATAATATGCGAAAATATTGAATCAAGTCGATGGTACATGGTTGAATATTTGCGATACTTTATCACGTGATGATACATAGTATCGCATCTACACTCTATATATAATTATCGCACAACGATACATTAACACATCTACATTCTATATATAATTGGCAAGATTTTTAAAGATTCTAATTATGGCAAGTGCAAGGTGTAGCGCACAACAGAAATCACCCTCTCTCGCGAATATATAATTTTACTATTCAAACAAATGCAGATAATTATTTGGGAATCACCGTTGAAAAATTTTGATGATAAATGTATATAAAACAATTATAGTAAAAGTCAAAAGAAAATATCCGCAAAAAAAGATATATGGGGAGTACCGCGCGACGATGACGTTTTATGAAAAATTCCTAATATAATTTGTTTTTCAGATCGAATTTTCGAATCGAAGAAAAGAAAGAATAAAAAAAATCATACCTTTTCGGAATACACGGATCGTTCGTTCGTTCGTTCGACTTTCGCGTCCACTTCCTCGGCATACACTCTCGGAATGAACTCGGGACGGGACCGTACTGTGATTATACACCCGGTTCCCGGTTAACCGTTGGAGTGGATACGACCAAGTGCGATGGGAAGCTGTAGCGTTCTGCTACTCATTCAACAACCCCTACCCTTCTAGTACGAATTCTTGTAACACCCCACCCTTTTTGCAACAACCAATCGAAAATCTCGCGGTGGGTTGCGAGAGTCGAACAGCTTTTTTTATTTGCTTATCGTCATTTCTCATCCAAACTATCGTAATCATTATCGTGATTTTTCCCTTTTTTCTTTTACAAATTTTCGGATTCCTCGCGCAGATAGAACAAATGAGATGTAGGTATTTTTTTCCATCTTGCATAACTTACGAGTGTAAATTCCTGCATGATTCCGAGTAATACTTTTAAAAGAATATCTTTTCAAATAACTCTTCTCAATATGTCACAATAATCATAATATATAACGACATAGATTTAACAAGTTATAACACGGCAAAAAAAAGATTGATTTTGCGCGATAATATCGTGAGATTCATTCCTTTGCGATACGTGAAAAAAGTTGCAAAAATCTTCTTTATAGGAGGTATATTTCAATACATGTTTCATTAAGACAATCAACTGATAATCATAGTGTGTAACACGAAATACAAAACGCATACGGTTCTTTCAGTTACATACAATTATTCGAATATTTTGGTACTCGAAGATGACATGACGATTTAAGAGACGAGAGAGTATGCAAGGAACGTTGTAAAATTGCGTTATTTATAGTGATTTGCCAAGTTATACGCTCGATTTTCGATGCCTGTAATGTATCTGTGATAATAAAAGATCGCGCATTTCGCGATCGGAAGATGGGTGACTCATACGGTGGTGAAGATTTGTCGAAATTTCGTAGTCGCGGACGAATACGTGGGATTCTGTGGAAGGATTTATCGTGTAACGTGGAATGCGTTCTCCCGCCATATGATGTCAAAGAAATCGAGGTCTCTCTTTTATTTGAAAATATTCTAGAATATATATAATTTCAAATATTTCGTATATATAAAATAATATAAGAGAGAGAAAAACTTTATATTATTTATACGAGATAAAAGTATATAAAAAATAAAGTAAAGAGAGAAAAAAATAGTGAAAGAGATTCGCATTTAGCTACTAGTAGTATATCGTAGAATCGAGTAGACGCAACAAGTAGTTTGAACGAACGAGCGAGTGAACGTGATGCCAGGTTGAGGATATCGCGTGTGATATGCTCATATATAAATGTACACATACGTGGGCGTGTTTATGTATAAAATAATTTCGTGTATATACGTATAAATATTCGGTGCGCGTCCGTTTTTTTGTCGAAAGCCCGGATTCAAATTCGGTCAAAAATATAGAATTTATTCGGTTGTTCTCGAAAGTCAAATTGCAAACCATCGAAAAATATATCCTGCCAAAGAAAAGCTACCCCTCTTTAATTCGAAGTAAGTTCCATGTATCTCTGTGAAAAATTATAAAAGCGCATTCCACTCTTTGACAAGAGATTACATATTGGAAATATAGAAAACATATACGAGGAGTTCTGGATATGATGAACGATAGAATGGATATATGAATCCGTGATTGCTTGAGGTACTTGCTTGAGGACCGAAGAGATGGACTTCGCAAGTGCAACCTCGCATTACGCTGATAAAAAATTTACACACCACTGATCCATGTTCTCCTCTTCGTATGATAATTTTTGTTTCTCGAATATAATTCCCATTTAAATGATATTTGTATTTTAACATTTTTTCTATATTCTCATATTGAAGAGCACGAATATGTTTTTTTTATATATTAACATTACAGCTAGGGAGTAATTTGAGAGATAACATTTCGAAACCAACAATGAAATAGAATATTTTTTGTATATTCTCGAATCAATACGATCGCGTATTGGTAAATGCAATGTTTGTTGCCACGTGCGACAACTTCGACTTTTGCAAAATGCGTTTAAACGGGAAAGAATAATAAACTTTTATTACACTTTATATGCAACATTCGAATCCTATGAGCGGTTTAGTAATTTAAAATTTAAAGCGTAATAGAATGAAAATAGCTTTGTATTTCACACCATCCACGCACGGAGAAAATATGACAAATATTGAATTATAATTTTAGTAATCATGGAACATATTTATACAAAACATATAAAAGAGATGTTTAATAATTTTATATACATACATATTAAATATTTTATAAAGGAGTATTTAAATTTATTCAAATATTTTTAATGCACAAATAAATGCATAATCGTTAACAAACAATAAAATAAACGTTAAAATAATTCATCATCTTTATTCCAGTTTTACAATAAATGGCGTAAAAGCGGTGTGC